GTTGAATACTAAGTTCGAAAAATATCCGTTTACTGGCCTGAACTATTTTGATTTTTTGTCTGATTTAAGATTCTTCTCGATAATAAAGTCCGTTTTTCCAAATGTCAGTTTCTATCTAAGTACGTCCATTCGACGAAAAGTCAAAATAGGCACATGGACATCCAAATTTGTTGACACTTATTCAGTTTTTCATTTCTAAAAACTTTTGTTAACAATATTTAAAATAATTACTATATTATTGCAGTAAAATTGAGTGTTTTTTATTTAAAATTTACGCACTTTAATTTTATGGCAATTTTGCAAGAACAGCTCAATCTGGTTCTGTTATTACTTGTTGATTTTTTAAACATCACGAAAAACATTTTTATCATCATCTCGGTTAGGAATACGTCCTATGTTTATTATAACTTTTTTTTCAAAATAAAGTCATCTATCAACTGTTAAAGTTATACAAGGGAACATTCATAGAAAGGACCCTCTGTTAGCGAGAAAAATCTGCAATTAAGCAAAATATCAAAGTCAATGAAATTTTGCTCACTTTCTCAGTTTTTCTGATAAACTTTTCACAGTAGTATTTTCTGTATCTCTTAGAGAAAGGACGTGCTCTGTGTATATAGGAAATTGGTAGAATTAAAAGAAATAATAATAAAAAAATATATTTATAACTAATTTTGAATTGAACATCTATTTATTTTAGTAACTAAAGTGAAATCACCAAATAAATCGATAATTTGCCGGAGAGTATGATGAACTTTTGACCATTGGTTGATGATTATCAAATTTAAAAAATTATATTTCTTTGAATTGTTTTTTTGTTACGCATGCTGTACCATTCTAAATCGTTTTTGTACTTTATAACTGCCTTCTTATTCTCGTTGCATGCCATCCATACCAAATTTTACAAAAATTACACCGCATATACCTTTGCCCATTATTTGAAAAAATTTTAAGTGAAATTGAATTGTAAAATAATTACTGTAAGTAAATGATCATTTTCGAATACAACAAGTCAAATTATAATTATTATTGGTAAGCTACTGTTATAATGAATTTATTTTGTTTCAAAGTAAGTGTTAAAAATCAATATAACATTTACATTTCTTTCTCTGAAGGCTCACCTGCTTCTTTCGGCTTCGGTAACGCCTGCATCTGCAAGTCTTGATGAGGGGTCCATTTGGCTCGAAATCCGGGAAACCCGTGTGGGCAACAATTCGAGAATCGCCCCATCGTTAAAGACCTAACTTAGAAACCGTCACTTTTATTATTTTTTAGAAAGTGTATACGTCGCGTCCCGTAAATATTCGAGAAAATAAGAGTGCAATTGTGGGTCAGCTTCGCTTTCTTTGAACTTGGAGAGACTAACGCGCGCATCAAGAGCTCAACCTACTAGACGCTGTGCATCGCCTTAACCACTCCAACGAGTTTCAATTGGAATCCCACGCGCTCAGTTTGATGCAGCGGCGGAACAGAACGAGACAGTATCGATACGAGTCAAAAAAACCAAACGAACCAACAAATATAACGGTTAAAAAATAAACTGTAATTTTTTCTTGTTAGAAATTTTATTCGTTTATGAAATGTAGCGAAAATTTTATATGTGTTTAAATAAACACAGGGTGTCCCAAAAGTCCGAACCTTCAGATAACATTTCAGGACTGACTAGTTATTCTGTGCATCATGCTGTACGGATGGGTGTACCATAAGGTTCAATTTTAGGTCCATTGTCATTTTTAGTTCATATAAATTACTTAAATTCTACTTCATCTACAACATTATACAGGGTGTTTCAGAAAGACCTCCCGTAAATACAGGGTGTAATAGTACGACAAAAAATAAGAATTTTTTGTTTTATGAACTATATGTCTATCACCTCTTGTTTTCGAGATACAGAGCAACAAAATACAATTTTTTAAATAGAATTTTTACGAAAATTTTCAAAAGGTGCGAAATATTTTTATGAAATTTGATATTCCGGGGTTTTTTAAGGATGCCAAATACTCTGGTCTAATTATCTTTTGTATATTTTATAGAGGGCGCTAGTTATACTACATTCGTATTACATTTTAAGTTCTAATTTTTTTGAGGTTAGGTTTTTTAGCATTCGTGCTCCAATTTCTAATGTACAATTTTATTTTCTAAAAATAATGTACTCTTGTTAGAACTTCCTAATGTGGACGGTTTTCGAGAAAAAATGCTTTTAATTGAACTCTTACAAAATTTCGGTGTAGAAAATAAGTGACTTTTCTTAAAGTAGGCTTATGTCAAAACTTATTGATGAATATTTCATAAACAACGCATACATTCTCAGTAATATTTTAAACTCTAATTAACTTTATATCATAATTTTAGTGACTGTAATTAGTCATTACTAACTACAGTCACTAACAATCACTAAAATTTTGATATAAGGTTAATTAGTGTTTAAAATATTAGTATGAATGTATGCGTTTTTTATGAGCATCCATCAATAAGTTTTGATATAAGCCTACTTTGAGAAAAGTCACTTATTTTCTACACCGTAATAGTGTAAGAGTTCAATTAAAAGCCTTTTTTCTCGAAAACCGTCCACATTAGGAAGTTCTAACAAGAGTACATTATTTTTAGAAAATAAAATTGTTCATTAAAAATTGGAGCTCGAATGATAAAAAATCTAACCTTAAAAAAAAAAAATGAGAACCTAAAATGTAATAGGAACGTAGCGTAACTTTATGAAATATCCAAAAAATAATTAGACCAGCGTATTTGGAATCTTTAAAAATCCTGGAATACCGAATTTCATAAAATTATTTCGCACCGTTTGGAAATTTTCGTAAAAATTCTATTTAAAAAATTTTATTTTGTCGCTCTGTATCTCGAAAACAAGAGAAAATAGACATATAGTTCATAAGACAAAAAATTCTTATTTTTCACCCCCCTGAATTTACGGGAGGTCTTTCTGAAACACGCTGTATAGTTGAACTATGTTATGCGTTCTTCTACAAGTTTTCTATTACAAAATAAAGCACTTTACTGCATTTCTTACTCAATTTTTTCGCAAAAAGAAACTTAAACATTGCTTAAATGCATGTACACATTTAAGGTTCACCCTGGATGCTGGATATGGTACCCAAACTTTTACTAAAATTTGTGGGTAACAGTATATTTATTTAATATTTTTAACTTTAGCGTGACCAGTTTGGCTGGGTATACCTCAATTATTTAATTGTTTCCTTTAAAAAATATTTTGAATGCTTTTATTATTTCATTGATACGCCACTGGCCTGATCGAGTGATAATAATGAGAAATAGAAGGAGATTCATCATGATTCACAGGTTTCATTGATGAACATGTGGTGATCACTGTAATTCCAAACTCAGGTGCAGGATGAGTCTTTATTTCCATTGAAAGCCTTATTGGACAGGTATCCTAAACACCGTTGTTACTTTTCTTAATCAGATATCCAACAATCACCGATATGGTAATTTCAAGATCGTTTTTAAAAAGAGTACCTAATCCGTACTGAAGCTCGAGAACAGTCAACAAATGAATTAATACAAAAAATTTTTAAAACTATGCCAAATAACCTTCAGACGGTATTTTGATATTAGTTGTGTTATCTATTCTGTCACAATGAAAAATTGTGAAATACGAAAAAGTAAATCACTTCCATTTGAACTTGACGGGTCACAAGCTATTATTAATATATCGGTCAAACTCCTAGAATTCATTATAATATTAATCATGTGCTAAAAATTACTCCTGTTCTGACTAACTGTAGTTTCAATATTTATCGATGTGTTAAATTTCGTCATTAAACAATTTACAAATGAGGTAGGGTCAAGATTTAAAGAGTTATTTATGCATACTGCGCTCCGTTAGCTTTAGTTAAAGTAAAGTATGTAAATTAGACATTAAAGGTAGAACTGGTTGCATATAACAAAAAAATTCTAATTAGTTTTCCGATTTTAAAGAAAAACATTTTTTAAGATTTCGGATTCTATTTGACTTCAGGATGGAATAATCCAATTCATTCATTTATTTTTATGTGTTATATATTTTCTTACATTTATTTGCTACGGAATTTATTATTTATATTTAGAAATATTCTACAAGTATATACTATTTTTAAATGGATTCAATATATTCCTAATACTTTATTTTACTCAACTATTGGTAGATAATACAATTTCATTTATGACTGAAACAATATCTATCTAGTTTACGTATATATTAAATAGTTATTTTTGTGTCTAGAATACGAAATAGCACTTTTGCGTTCAAGAATGGAAGTTATTTTGCCAAGCTTACCGAAAACAGCAATAAAAGAAGATAATAATTGTGTTATATACAACAATTTAATTTATATTTGAAATCGTTTGATCCGTGTTTGAATCAAGACGGTTTAGTCGCGCTATCAAATGATAGTAACCTAATAAACAATAAAAATTAATTGTTTGAAAAAGCAGTTTCAGAATTATATATTGTAATTCATATTCTAAGAGTGTTTAATTCAAAATGAGCTCGGAAAGTAAAGACGAGCATTTATCAGGGGAAGTATTGAAGAAGACAGTAAGAGATTGCCTACAACGAATTCAAAAGGTTTTTTCAAAAGGAAGTTTTTTGCCACATTATTTCTTTTATGGTAATATGAAAAGAAATTTTCCATTCCATTTTATGGAAGTTCAATTATTCAGTATATTTAAAATATTGTCCGTCATTTTTTGATTTAAATTTCACGAAATTTACTAAAATTACCAGGAAAATTTATTGTATTTTCGAAAATTGGCATTTAAACATTCTCTATGATTTTTATAGTTTGTTCTGTAAATTTGGTAAATAAACATATAAAATTATAATTGTTTAGCTACTTAATTTCATTAATTCCACGTAATCTACTTTCTACAAATTTCTTCAATATTACCTATTATGTATTGGAACACCTTCACTAAACATGATAATTTATTTCTTTAATTATCAATAGTTTTTATGTATACTTATACTACGTATTAAAACAAACAGGTAACAGAAATGGTAGGTGTGTACTTAATATATAATTCGCATAACATAATCATGAAAGTAGATTTATTTAGTTTATTGCGCAATGAACACATTGTGAAATAAAGAATATTATAAAATGTACAAAAAAAGTGTTGGAATTAGTATTTTCCAAGGAGGAAGTAAATTATTACGCCAGTAACTTTGCCAAATATGTTTTCCTTATGATTCAGAAGTCTTTAGTTTATGCTAAGTCATTGGTATTTTTAGATATAAAATATTTATACATAAAGAAAAAGCAATTTTATGCAACAGATTACCAAGTTATTGCGGCTACTGGATTATATGAGGGATATCTAACAATGTTAGTGAAGTTTTTGTATAATATTAAAGATATATCTTTACTTCCCAACAATATTAACAGCAAGGCTTCCTGTGACTTGAACTAGCGGTTGTGATGTGAAATTTACGATGATTCTTCTTACGCCAGTCCTTCTGCCAGTGGTGAAGCTTATAGGGATGCTAACTTCCTCTAAGGGAGGCACGTCTTTGTATCTGATGCTCTTGGGAACATCTCCTGGGCCTTCAACCATGTACACGCAATTGGTCAGTGTTACATTCACGGGGTTCCTGAAACTGCAGAAGAAAATTTTTATATCCAATGTGTCAACGTTTAGTGAAAAAAATACCTAAATCTGACGTCAATTGTATCTCCAATTTTATAGTACAATTTTCCTGCGCTCATAGTCGCCAAAGGTTGCGTAAAAACAAAGTCTTCCTCCTCGGCCCATCTCTGACCGTTCTTGTCACCGTTTTTAACCATACCAAAAGCGTACAGCTTGATAAAACCGTGATCTACCAACGCTGGAATGTATTTGGAAGCGGGGATGCTCAACGGAGGAAGAGCCCTGGTTTCTCCTTGTTTAATCGAAAAATTGTCATCTCTTCGATCTATTATCGACACCTGTTTTCCCGTATAGTAAACCGATCTACCTGCCAAAGCCGTCCAAATGTTTTTCGTCGAGTTCGTGTTGTTAGTGACTCTCATAGTCACATTCAACGTTTCACCCAGAGGGACTTTGTCAGTGATGAGTTCGAAGGAAAGTTCGTTAGATTCAGCAATATTTACTTCTTCTAGTGCTTTGTATATAGGTGTAACATCCCAAATATCATCCGATCCAACCGCCTTGGTTACAACTTTCTTTCCAGACCTGGAATCGGAAATTTGATGTTAAATTTGCTGAAATTATTATTCGAAGATTTGAAGACTTACTGATATCCGTTTTTAGGTAGCTGATACTCTCCCAATTCCGAATCTTCATCTACAACAATACGACTAATATCAGCGTTTAATATCTGGAACACGAAGTCGGTATCGTATTGATAGTCCGTAAAGCCTTGCTTCACAGCCTCTACTGAAGCTGGTCCACACCTCATGATACCATCGCTGCGTCTTAAAGGAGTGGCGTCAATAATCTGCCAGCCACTAAACCTCTTTGGAATCTTTGGTCTTGCCAGCCAAACCTCATTCCAGGCATGGAAGCTCCAGAGGGTCTCATTTGACTGATTGTCTTCGATTAGGTTGCCGAAAGCATCATAGTTCCTAAAAAAAGAATGTTTTAGTAGCGATTAACATTGTATTGAATGTTATTTACTTTGTAATGTTCTTGGAGCCTTGGCCAGACACGTAGACAGTGGAAGATCTACAGGGGATCCCCAGAGCCCTACAAATCGTCACAGTGACTGCGGAAAATACCCAGCACTGTCCATATCTCACTGGAGCTCCTCCAGAATTGTAGTACTGTTCCAGGATGGGCTTGGATCCTGTCCAGGCGTATGGAGGGGTACCATCTGAGAAATCACCATTCCAGTTGGCCACCAAAAGGCCGTTGTCGTCATCAGAATTTATCTATGAAAGAATGCAATTATTAATTGGTTCAATACAATAACAAATGCAGTTTTTTAAATGGTATCATTGGATTTAACAGGAAAACAACACATACTATTGCTGAAATCGCCCTAGACACTAAAACGGGGTCTCCCCTGTTTTCTGGTTCCAGTTTGGATTTATCCAAAAGGAAAACGGCAGTGCGCAAGGCGATGTCGTCGAACTGGCCGAATATCCAGTTTCTTCCCTGTGGATACCAAGAAGTGCCCAACCATATCTTTCCGACGTCACTGAAGATGTACTCGTTGCGGTCATTTTCGTTTTCCAAATAAACACCATCTTCCCTGTTCCAGGGGTTGAAAATTATGTAGAAGTCGTTAGGTACCTTGAAATCCGAATTAAGTCTTACATTATTGCCACGTTACTCGAACTAATATTTATTTATATACAGTGTGGCCCATCGGAAACCGTAGGGCATAACTCTCTAGTGTATAAAATAAGTAACCTGTTTTTCATACCTGAAAATTGCGGAATTCTTTTGGAAAACCCTTGATATTCGTTCGAAGAGAACAGCTCCATATTCCTACAGGAGCATTGGCAGCGATATGGATTTCTACGACAACATAATTGGGGTCTACTCTATCCAGAGCTATGCCCCACTGATTAGGGTCGTCTGGCAGGCGTTGTTGGGGACGCAAAATCAAAGGAATGCGTGTTATGTCTTTTTTAGGCTTCGGACCTAAAAGAAAGTGTATTTTATAATCATAATGTGATCGGTAATAATAAAACGTATTTACCAAACTTAAACTCGATCCTAAGAACGTCCTTGTCAACGATGAAATCTCTATCGAAGCGAATAGCTAGATAAAAATTGTATCCTCTTCTGTATATGGCTGTATCTTTGTTGGTTTGGACAAGGTCATAGTTATCCGTAAAGTGTCTTGGCGCGATCTGTTGCCCGTAGTAGTCCACAAGTTCGATGTTGATGGGCTCCATTTTTGATCACTGAGAAAGTATTTTGCAGTTAGAAAATACAGAGTTACTAGACGAAATCTGTTCTTTTTTCAAGAAAACTGCTTTAAAAGATTTCTGCGTACACCCGGTTTAAAAAATAGTAAAGAAATTAATTTAAAAAAAAACAGTAATGTGTTACGTCAAATTAATAGTCTTATTTCATAAACGTTCAGAGTAATTTCGGAAAAAAAAATTGAAAGGGTATATCTATTGGAAAAATACACAATACAACAGTCAAAAACAAATTAGCCCCTTCCTATGTTCAAAGTAATTAAACAAATTATTACAACAACTTACAGTAAATTTTCGATATGGCCTTCACCTTTTTCTGTGCGTTTTCTATTTATCTTTAAAGCTATCGAGTAAAATCTCAGATACAAACATGCCTCAGGCACATATTTCTGGAGATTTTCAGCATTTACGGAATATAATTACCTTGTGAGTATCTTCAGACAAACAACAACATTTGAATAAATTTGCATCAGAAATTTTATATAAATTATCATTATCTTGAGTTATTAATTACATAAACACACTGTTGAAGATTCATCTGGAAGAATACGGTCACACCGGTTATACTTGAAACACAAATTTGTAAACAATACTACATTACATAACCTTGTGAAAATTTTTCAAATAACACCGTTTTACGAGGATACTATTTATCAATTTTTTTGTCTGTTTGCAGCTGTTACGGTATGGAAGTTTTTGAGGCTGTAATAAAAATTGACCATTTAACCCATAAAGCGGCGCCTATTTATTGGAAGGAAAATTTCATAAAAGATTTATCACAAATTTATAACAAATATAAACAGTCAGTCCTCTAGATCTAGACTCTCTAGAGTATAATTAGCAAGGAATGTAAAATTAAGTCAATTTTCGGAAAAAAAAGAAGCATATCGAAAAATTCTTGGTAACATACAGGTTTTTTGGTCAGTAAGCATATTGCATATACACTATAAATAAGTCTAAAACTGGTCTTTTTATAAAAAAAAATATGCTCGTAATATTTGTTAAGGTCTAAAAGTCTGTAAATTTCACAATTTTAGAGCAGATAATTTTATTGAAATTCGAATTAGATCTAATAATAATACGTATAATATACAAGAAACTAATGGCAATAAGTATGTATATTTGTATCTAATTGATTATGAAAAGGACTATTTTAAAATTTGATGGAGTAAGTGGAATATGCAGGGGCTACTGAAAGTTAAAATGGAACGGAACACATAAGGGTAGTGGCAATTTGGTTTTGAGCATAAGTGAATGCCAGACCTTTATCGGCTGAATTCTGAAGGGTAACTGGAAACAAACTTTTAATAATTATATTTAATTTAAAATTGTATTTGCAACAAATAATTCCACTATATTTTTGTGACACCATCATATCAAAGTTTGTTTTTATTTAATCGCTGTTTAGTAAACTTATTTCCACTAGAAAAAATAATAACTCTTCATTTTTTTTTTAAATGCAATTAGGAATCGAGATATTTGTATGTACATATATGATATTTTTCAAAATACAGCCTGCTACTGTTTAGGACTTAAGTTCACATAAGTTTTTTTCTTAAAATAATCCAAATGACTCTTCCATTATTACCGAAACGTGCTTAAGAATTTCACCCTGTATAAGTTACTAAGGGTAGAAACAAAAACAAAACTTATTGTACAAAAAATATCTGTGCTGACACTTTTTGCTTTGGGCTTCGATAGCAAGCAATATTCTTTATCAATATTTACTTATACTGTAATTAGAGACCGTAAAGCTTTTTGTATTGTACGGCAACATAATGTTTCAAGCTTTCTAATACTCTTTAAAAATATATAACACAGTTATTTATTCAGATTAAAAAAAAAATTTCCTACCTTCTGCTGGTGCACAATCCGTGTGAGAAGAGCAACTGTCTCTAATACAGAGGTTTAAAGCGGTATTTATATAATTTTCTGCCCACCTTGCTTGCTCCTGGAAATGCTGTCCGACAACTATCTACAAAAATATTTAAATTTTTTCCCATTACGTAACGTAACCCGTCGTCCTGAAAAGAGCTTTACTGAGAACAAAGTTTAATATACGATGTAATAATGTCCAGAATATATTATTTTATTTAAATGCACCTTCAATTATTGAAAAAATCTCAGATATTGTTCATATTTTGTGGTTTAATAAAGGTAACACTTAAGGTAGTTTAATAAAGGTAATACTTAAGGTAGCAATCATTTTATATTTCTATAAGCGATGTTGTTAGTATCATAGTTAATTTACGAATGTGCTAAATGTGTGTTAAGATCGCGATTTGCGAGCGGCATTTTCTAGGTTTTGGCGGAGGCACCGGTTTCACAACCTGACATGTTATGCAGACATATTTTTCCATAGCTAGCGGTAATTTATTTAAATAGGTACTTTTAGGAATATTTTTAGACTGCCTCAAGGCCATAGGACTACTTATTTACCATTAATAAAGTTTCATCAAATTCGTAAATAATTATAGATTATATAGTAGCATTAAAAACACATTTATTTTTTATAATACCAAAGTTATAAGGCGTCTAATTATTTATTCAAAATTTCAAGTGCAATAATAATACACTTATACTTAAATTTAAGGGAAAAGGACGCTTCGTTAAAAAGACACAGTGAACATTGTCCAAAATTTGAGGTCTTTTCCTAAAATTTAGATGCTCCAGTGGCGGAGGTACAGGGTATCGGTGGCACATTTTTCTAAATAAAATAGTACGCCACTGCTTTATGGTAACAATCATAATATTTTTTCTTATGTTTTTCGAAAATAACCTGATTTTCGAGTAAATCTTAAAAAACGAACTCATTCACGTCTCTGAACGTTAAATTGTCCCTCTAACTTCGTTACATGGACACCGGATTGGTTTTCAGCGATCCCAAAAATGTATGGGTAAGTTGGTCTAGTCCAGGACATCCCAACCAGTGGGGCGCGCCTCCCCAGGGAGGCGTAGAGATTGTAAGAGGGGCCCAATGTATTTTGATATTCTAAAGAGAAATCTATTTGAATTCTTAAATTCACTTAATTCATTCAGTCGTCGCCTTGACAATTATTATTTGTCCTGGGAAAAACCGAACCTGACATCGACCAACTAACTGGCTCAGAACATGCATCAGGCACAAACATCGTATTATGTAACATAATTTTATTATTTAATTAAAAATACTTCATTATTTTTAGGAATGAAACATAATTTTATAATTTAATTAAAAATACTTCATTATTTTTAGGAATGAACACCAAAGTTTTAATTTATTTGATTATGCTTATTACTGAGAAATAAATATCGTGAAAATAATGTGATTTTTTATTATAGCAATAAAAAAAATTATAAGGGGGCATGGGGCAAGGAATATATTTTTTTTATAATCCAGGGAGGCTCAACGCAAAAAAGGTTAGGAACCCCTGGTCTAATCTATCACACATTTTCACATTATCACACAGAATTTTCTCCGTAGGGCTGCGTTATTAGTGAATGTATTTTTATAGATTCTTACTCGATTCCTTTACCTTCAATTACCTTTTCCAAGCTTGTAATCATCATGAATACTTACCAATTTTCTTTTCCTACTGTAACTAAGGCAATATTTAAGACTTTAATTTCGTTTATTTCCAAAAATCTTAGTAATATATAAATAGGTACAAAATATACTTAACGGTAAATATAAACTTTCTATGTGTCTACTTGTTAGTACAAAATACCTAGTTTGAGCTAAAACTAATACCCTATTATCTAATTTTATTTGAAACGATTTGCTCGTAAGTAACTAAAATTAACAATACAAACAATAATATACATATCACGCATCATTTCTTTTCTCTGACTCGTAGTCAGATTTACAGCAAAATAAATTTTGTTATTGTTACCGAATTGATTGAGTAACAATTTTTTTCATAAATTTACTCTTCCTGACCCAACCAAGTCTTGTCCAATGTCAATTTCAACCACGATACCACCAATAACATACCACGTTACCGACAACAGTACCTACTTCTTAAAAAAAAAAAACGATCTTTAAAACTGCCTTTGAACTTTAGCTTGAAGTTTACTTCGCATAGAACACCTAAAAAATGCAAATCCTACACGATTTGCACTTTTGTACTCGCGTTGATATTGTGGATCTGCCTCGACGTGAAGTTAACCACGATTTTCCTCTCTCCCTTCTTCTTCGCGGTGAACGTTTCGGTTTCTGTGACCACCTCTTTAGGATTGACGTTTCTGAATTTTATAGTTCTGGGCTTTTGATGACCAGGGCCTTCTACGACGTACACGCATTCGGTCAAAGGGATGTTCAAAGGATTTTGAAAGCTGAAGAAGCGAAACATTATTGAGATTGCTTTAAGAGAAATTAGGATAAGTATAATTTCTGAGCAAAATTTTCATGTTCTGTAATGTTTTCGTTTAATTTATTAATTTTTTATCAATTTAATTGAATAATGGGTTCATTTGATTTGTGTTTATCCCAGCTTTTGTGTACAATTAATAGCATTTCGCCCAAGGTAAGTAAATTGCTCTCCATACTTTTTAAATGTGATATACAGAAAGCAAAAAAAACTATTTTTCCAGTTAATTTAACTTGTAACAGAATTTCGCCAACTTTTAACCAAAAAAAATGAAGTGTTTAAAACCTTACCTAAAGCTGACGACACACGGCTCCCCTACTTTACATTGCCCTGGAACATTTAACGTCATTTGCGGCAATATAAGAGTAAAGTCATCCTCTTCGCTCCATGTTTGCTTAGTCTCCTCCACCGTAGCAATTGCATAGACCTTTATAAAATTATGATCGACCAGTTTATCCAAATATTCACCGGGCGTAATCGTCATCGACAAAGTATCTTCCTGCCCTGGTTTCAACTTGAAAGAGCTTGGACGGGACTTCTTAATATCATTAGCCGTGTTTCCTCTGTAATATATCGAACTGGCGGACAAAACTGCTTTAATAGTTCTCTCTTCATTGGCCTTGTTGTGCAATTTCACCACGACGTTGAAATCTTCTCCAAACGGCACCGTATCAATGTCTATTAGATCGAAGAAGACGTCCTCTTTGTCTTTGTTGGGAAGCCTGTAGAACTCCTGGGCACGCGGTATGCCTCTAGCGGCGTTGTAGACCGCCAAACGTTCCGCTTCTGAACCCTCTTTATTTTTGTATATAAAAGTCACGTCCAGCAGATCGCTATCGCCGTTGTCGTCAGTGGGGCCTAGTTTCTTGGTCAAAATCTTCCGTCCAACACTAAAAAAGCATACATTACTATCTAATATATCTTTAATCAATCAAAATCTTAATAAATAAGCAACATTTTGACTTACTGATATTTGTTGACGGATATCCTGCTGAATCCCCAGTCCGACTCTTCGTCTTCCTTGAAATGCACCACGTCGGCGTTTACTTCAGAGAACACAAATGGGGTGTCATACAAGTACCCCACTTCTCCTCTCTTCACGGCTGCCACGGAAGCGGGCCCGCATCTCATGACCTTGTCACTTTCTTCTTGGGGAGTGGCGTCGATGATTTGCCAACCACCGTAACCTGGAGGTAGGTCAGGTCTGGTCATCCAGACGTCGTTCCAGACGTGGAAATTCCAACAGGAGTCAGATTCACCCTCTGGACCGTCCTCGATTTTGTTACCAAATAGGTCGAAATATCTGCAAAGGGAAACAATGATTTCAGTGTTTTGAAAATGAAACTTAAGAGAAAAAATTGTAATTTGTAATACATAGTAAAGTTTTTATTTTTTGTATTACGTATTATACGTTTCCCACGGTTTTAAATAGATATATTGGAATAAAAATGGATCCGACTTCTGTTCTTTGTGACGTCAATTATAGGCAACCCCAATTTCTAATCTCACAATTTAAATTATATTAAAATAGCAAAAATTCAAGTTTTCTAATACTCACTTATCTACTGTCATAGATCTGTTGGTGTCATGCGCAGATATGTAGTTGGTCGTTGACCTGCAAGGCAAGCCCAGAGCCCTACAGATGGTGACCGTGACCGCAGAAAACACCCAACACTGCCCATATTTAACTGGAGTTCCTCCAGTGCTCAGATATTGTTCCAAAATAGCTGTAGACCCAGTCCAGGCGTGTGGTGAGGTACCATCGCCGTATTCACCGTCCCACTTGCCTTCTAGAAGACCATCGTCGTCTTTGGAATTGATCTAGAATCAGATTAGTTAAATATCGGTCAAGGGCGACTAGAGCAGAACTTACTATGGCTGACAGGGCTCTAGCTATAAGCACAGGAGACCCTCTGCCTTCAGTGGCGAGTCCGGATTTCTCCAGAAGGAAAACAGCCGCAGGTAGAGATATCTCGTCGAATTGACCGAAGATCCAGTGTTTGCCCGTGGGGTTCTTGAAGGTGCCACACCAAATTTTACCAGTTTCGTTTAAAATATACTCTTCTCTTTCGTCTTCGTTTTCCATGTAGACGCTGTCTTCTGGACACCATGGGTTAAATATGATGTAAATATCATCAGGAACCTAAGAATGTTTTTGTAGAATAAACGATATCATAAATCAAGAAGTAGCACTCACTTTGTAGTCTCTACGATTTCCTCTATGTTTTTCTCCAGCTATGTTGGTCTGGATCGAGCAGCTCCATATTCCAATTTGGGCCGTAGGCGGTATTCGAACTTGAAGCACGACGCTATTTGTTTGTGCATTAGTTGAATTAAGGATACCTCCCCACAAATTTGGGTCTTCAGGAAAACGTCTCACTTTTGCACGAAGTGGCAGCACCGCTCTAGTACCACGAATGGTGTTCGGTTTCGGACCTAGGAAAGCACGCAATAATAATAAAACATAATAATTAGTCTCCTTTGGATCATAAAATAGGCGCCACGACATTTTTCAACCTTGGCTATCTCTGGCTTATCTATCATAATTTAGTCAAAGCATATTCTATCATTATCATTATGCAAAATCAATTACAAAATGCTATATGCATATTAAATATTTCATGGAATTATTTTGGTGTAAGTAAGTAAGTAAAAACCATGTATTTAATTGAAGATATAAATGAAAAAGAAGAAAATAACTAGCGATATAAACTAATGCGAAAAATTAAAGGGTCAAAAGAATTTCCGAAATTTTTCCATGATTTTTGACAGACTGTATTTTGGTGAAAAATGGTCGTATCGGGAATTAAAAGAAAGCATTTTGAAGCTATAAGATTCTAGTTTATATATCTTTCGTGCGAAATTTTTTAGGAGCTACGGTTATCATGCAATTCTAGGAGGTAGCGCGACAAAAAATTTTGCAAATTGCAAAAGTCCACGGACTTGGATAATTCTTTTTTTTTTTTTTCATGGACCAGGTAGCTTGTTTATTCAGCTTCAATTTCCTTTTTTTTAACTTTCGATACACCCATTTTTCATCGAAATATCTAACTTTTAATAGAAAAAATTCCTTTTGTCTTGAATCATCGATATCTCGGTGACAAATGGTCGTACAGAGAATTGAAGGGCAGTTTCCAAAACTGGAATAAATTTTATAAAACATGCTGCCGCAACTTTTCGTAATTTTTTTTTTTTTTCATCTTTTGCACGAATTTAAAAAAACAGGAAAAAAAGGGTAATTTATGGTTTTTTAGAAAATTGAAGGCTAAATTAGAAATATTCACGAAATGATCGATCTAGCGAACTGTTTCTTTGTTTCAAACAATCAAACATTTGAAAAAAATGAAACACTTCATAATCATGATTAAAATGGAGAAAAAATTTGTTGAGGTTTTCTAACATGTTTACCACAAATAAGTAACGTTTAAATTGATGAAAAAAAAAATGAAATGTTTTTTTCAGAGAAGAGAAAGGGTAGTTTTGAAAAAAAAAAACTGTTTTTTAAGTGATTACAGACTGTACAAAAATTAATTAGAAATTTTTCTCAAAAAGACTAATTTTAATTTAATTAAAAGTTGATGAACAGAAGCATAGGACGAAAAAGCCGAATCGTGCTGGACACAATTAGATTTTGTTCAATGCCTAGAAGGTTAAAAAAAAACAAAAAAAAACTTCTCGAAAATTTTTCGAAACGTTTTTTTTTTCAATTTATTAGTTATTTGTGGTAAAAATGTGAGAAAAACCTCAAAAAAAAATTTTTCCATTTTAATCATGATTATAAAGTGTTTAAGCTCAAAAAACTTGACCCTTTAATTTTTTTCAAAACATTGACTGCTTGAAACAAAGAAACTGTTCGCTAGAACAAGATGAAACTTCACAGGGTTCTTCTGGGTATATAGAACTGTAAAATTCATGATTAAGATTAGTCATTTCGTGAATATTTCTAATTTAGCCGTAAATTTTCTGAAAAACAATAAATTAGACAAAAGGATCATTTTCCATTAAAAGTCCGATATTTCGATGAAACATGGTTGTATCGAAATTTATAAAGAAGAAAATTGCAGCTGAATAAACAAGCTATATGGTCCATGCAATGGCTTTGCTGAAAAAAAATTTTTCAAATCCAAGGACTCGGGAAAGGAAAAAAAAAATTTTTGTCGAACTATTTCTTAGAATTTCATGATAACCGTAGCTCCTAAAAAATTTCAACCGAAAGATCTAAAAACTAGAATCTTAGAGCTTCAAAATGTTTTTGTTTTAATTCCCGGTACGACCATTTTTCACCTTAAAAAATCACGGAAAAATTTCGGAAATTCTTTTGACCAATTAATTTTTTGCATTTGTTTATATGAGCTTAAAATTGTTAGGAGAAAAGTTGAAGAAGAAGCTTTAACTTGCTTCATAAGAAATATAAAAACATTAATGCTGTTACAGCGAATTATAGAAATTACTAATAAATTAATAATTAATTCACAGATATCATTACAATTACAATTTGATCTACGAAATAAAAAGATGTATCGTTATGATGAATATTAATGGAAAAAAATAAAAATAAAAAAATAAAAAATAAATAAAATAAAATAAAATAAATTGGTTCCATTAATTTTTTTGATAGCAAGAACTTATGATACTTCTGGTTTTATCCTGTGGAAATATAAGAGAAAACAAATGGGGAACTACTATACAAACTTAGAATTCTAAAGATATTCATGGAATTTCTAGGGAAATTCATATGGAAAGTCCAAGATATTCTGGAAGAGGCTTGCTGCGTGCCATAAATCAGAAATACAAGATTTGATCTGTGGTTAATATGTTGGAAGTATACATATAATGTATTGTTGTCATTGGTTTCTATAAGGAAATATTAATATTTACATATCTTCAATACGGGACTCACCAACCAATTTTTTGTTTTTTCATATTCCTAATAATAGTAGCGTAAAATACTGGGTTGTGTTGATAATCGAAGGACTGAAGAAAACTAGGTTTTCTTCTTGCTTTTAATGGAACTTTTATTCAAAAAAATGTTGAACATTGACACATGACATATTATTACATCCTTGATATTATTAATAAAATTACTATTCAAGGCTTCATTGAAATATATAGAATTATAAGAAATATATATGAAATTTCCAACAGGTTGTATGAACAAAACATATGTATTCCTTTTACTAAAGGAAAAGCTAGCGTTCATTTAGCTTCGAATCAATAAAAATCAAAGCAAAACCTTATATTCCAAGTAGAAGATAATCTTTCATTTCATATGAATAAACCCAAACATCTATTTCTCACATGAAATAGATGCTTCAGCATTTTGGAGCAGACTACAGTCGTAATATGTTTCCCGGTTGTTAAGATGTTCCGAAGTAAAAGCATTTCGTTATCCATATGAATTGAAGGTTTTTCATTTATTCCGACCTTTTACTGATAGTAAAAGCATTTACTAGAAAGCACACTTTCAGCAAGTGCTCCATTTTTATTCCTAGGAGCCACTGCTGCTTGCGTATAAATATGTATAACACATTTGCCCTCAAATGAGATCCATTTCATTTTGAAAAGTTGATATGGTACGTGCTTACCAAATTCAAATCTGACTCTGACGATATCGGCATCTTGGTTGAAAGGTCTATTAAATTGTATTGCCATCGCGAATGTGGCGCCTCTTCTTAGGACCGGCGTAGGTGGATTAGCTTTCACCAAGTCGTACTCGTCGGTGTGATGGAGTTTCGCATTTTCCATGCAGTAGAATTCAGTGTTGGTTACCGACAAGGGCTCCATTTTGCGAACCTAGAATAAAAGTTACTTCCATCAACGTTACGTCAGTACTAAGTATATTGATACAGGTTCAGTGTATTTACTTGAGTTCGCAGTTTGCGTCAGTAATATGCAAAAGATTAATGGGCTCATATAAATAAGTTTTCATTGATCTGTTGGCGTGATAAATTGAAAAACTTGAGTTAATCGAATTTTGAAATGAACCAGAACCTCTACGTTTATTTTTATGTTCTTTGATACCAAAAATCTAGTTACGCAAAGGGTATCCAACTTTACAGACAAGATTCCTAAATGTAATAATTTAATGAAACTAATGTAATAATGTAGTAATTTAATGAAATATCTTGTACTTTTGTCGCTCTAACATCGCCCATGACAGAGACAACACGTAGAAAAAGGATTGTTTCATCAGTACAAAATTATATACAGAAAAGTGTGAAAAGTATTAAATATGAGTAGATTATTGATTTTTTTACTCTTATAATAAATTAAAAATTAAATAATAGCAAAAGTATTAGAATTTGCTATGTTACTTTTATTCAAACAAGTATTGCGAAATAAGCATCAGCTAAATTAATAAAAAAACTTTTTTTCAGAGCCAAAAAAATATCATTAAGTAAAGTGTAAATTTTCCTTAATAAATAACTGTTCCAAAACGCTTTTAACATAACTTGTTCTAGTGGATACAAAACAACATTCCCATTTTTTATATTTTTTCTATTTTTAATATAGACTACCTTAAGTTGACACCGCGAAACTTATGTCGTGGAAAATGTTTGTAATTTAACTTGAAACGTAATAAATGTATTTCAAAATTACAGGTAACAAGTTTATAGATACTACGTTTCATATTTCCTAATTTGGTATTTTCTAGTACCACATATTGCCGATCTCATTAGAAATTATGTAGAAAATAAGTAACATTTAATATGTCAATAAATCAGTTACCATTAATCTCTACAAAATAGTACTGGCTACTACTACTAAGTACCACTAAAACCTCTTGATTTTCTCTCCATTTTTTTTAAATTGATCATTTTTATAATTAAATTATTTATATATTTATTTAAAAATTATATAAATTTATAGCAGCAACATCAAAGACTTGTTTAACTTAATTTACATAATAAACTAGGAATTCCTGCAACTTATTGGTGTTTTAATGTAAAATGTCTAATTATTAACATTTTGTAATTTAATTATTTTTTCAATCTAATCACGTTATTCAAGTTTTTTAGAATATTTTAATTATAGTTACTTAACTATGTATTTTTTAAATCACTTGTTTTATTTACAAAGAAATATAATATATTTTATATAATTCGCCAAATTCGTCAAAATTATTAAATCTATTGCTATATGCATGCATAGTCAATAGTAACATCTACAATTTGAAAAAAATAATCATTAATTTTACTGATATTTTACAGATAAAAATTAAATGTAAGATAAAAAACTATTTTCAATAAAACGTATAAAATAACAATAAATTATAAATTTTCTGGAAACGTCTTTACAAAAGTTCTGCTGTTTATTTAAAAATAAAACCAATATTTCACATATAATTTTCGTGCTTACCCTAAATTTTAACATGACATGAAAAAAAATGACTATTTAAAAAAAATCAGCTGTTTCTAACTCTAATAATTCCAAAATAGGCTTGCTTAACCTGCTTCTGTAGATATTAACAAAATATTTGTAGTAATAGATATTAAATATATATTTTATCGGTATAATAATTTGTTATATCAAAATAACTAGGTACTCATTTTTCAATTAATAGATAAAATATTCCTAAATTTATAAATGTGTAAATATTTAATTTTATTTCAACAAAATTAATACTTTGAGATAACAGGTTTAAAAACGTTTAAGTCATAATTGCAATAATTATAATACGGAAACATTGTCTCTACCTTGACAATCGGCGAAAATGTAATACCACAAAGTACATAAGCACAACTGGAACTGACACTAACCGATCGCGACTCATGTATAAATTCGATCCTACTATGCCCCCCGTTTTTTTTTTAACTCTGCCAGACCACACTGATTCGAATGCAAATATTTATAAACAAACTGCAAGCGGTAGGGGCCATGGGAATTTTTTAAAAGCTCTACTATACACCACTACAAGTTGAACATTGAACTTGAACTGATTCCTGGACTGTTTTGGAGCAAATAACTCAGTCTCCAACTAGATGAAAAAATTTCACAATCTCATGAGTTTGTGCTGTAACAAAGTGTTAGTCAGACCGCGTAGTTTTCTTTCCGAGAAGTATGATCCAAATGTAAGGAGAGGAACCTTGAGTATGAGATGTGTTGACCATTTTTAAGTCACAAAGAAATACTTAGTTTTACCTTGACAAAGGAATTGTTAAAACGCATTTTATTTTCGTAAAAATTTTACTGATCTGAAGCGCTTGCAATTATTTCTCAGTTGATTGCCAAAAAAAACTTGTTCTTTAATTAAGGCGACTTTGTCAACAACCAGAAGCGCAGGTTAATCAAAATACAATCCAGTACATGTCAAATTTATGTAATTTCTGCAAATCTGCCGATATTTGTTTATGTAGTAGAAGCAAGTAGTACTAGTATAGGTCGTTCAAGGTTAATGAGGTGTGAGGTAAATATATTTATGGAAATTATTACCTATTTAAGGCAATTTGAATCTTATTTTTACTATTCTTCTCTTATTACTTTAAATGTCAGAGGTGATATCCTAGAAATTAACAAAAAAAAAAAACTGGATGTCGCAAATATGAAACCCTTCCATTTAAAGAGAAGCCTGTCGATGTATGCTAAAAATACTTTTGATTATAAAAAATTTGTTGTAAAAGAATCCGGAGATTATTTTTTTACATTTCTAAAAACCAAAACCAATAACCAAGGGAATAAATTTTTTACGTTCAAAATTTTAATGTAGCTTAATTTTCATACTTTTATTTTCATACATAAAATAAAAATATTATATAAAAAAAAGAGTTTTGCTGCCGATAAGTTTTCGAAAAATTGTCAAATTCTTTTCAATTTATTCTCACTCTCTTGTGTTATTACTACCACTGGGTTTATAAGCTAATACTGATAGTATTTTATCAAATTTGATACATCTGTTTCCAATTATTATTAAAAATATTATTAAAAAATTATTTAATTAATATACACATGAGCGACACATTTTGTTTTGTCCAGAATTGAACTAGATCCTATAGTTACAATGTATTTTCTAGATTTGTTTTGCTAGGTATCTCACATGTAGAAATACGAGTTAACTGAAAATTTCTATTTTTTAATGTTTATCATAATTTGATACAAAATAAGGACATCCGCCTGAATTGATCCAAAGTATTAGGATTATTTTTACTGATAAGTTTATATTTTCAAATTTAATTGACCTTTCACACATCAAACTTTATCAAATTAAATTAGGCTTGCTCTCATTCAAGTAATTTAAAACAATATTAATGTGTTATTTGTTATCTTAATTGTTCTTCAAATGATCTAACAAAAAAATAAGTATTAATAGAAAATAGTTGACATATTTTACATATGAGACAAAAATGTATTTTCATTTGCATCTAAAAGATATTAACTTAGTTCAAATAAATTTTAAAAATTTTGCTCACCTAACAAATTAAATCAAACGATGTTCTTTGATATCAAAAATGCAAAAGATATTTGACCCATCGCGGATATACTTACGTTTTAGTCTTTTTCAAAGAACAATTACAATAAAAAAATTCATTCATTCATGTCAAATAATTTTTGCGTACCTAGATTTTTCATATCAAAAAACATTTTTTGATTTCATTTGATAAGATAATATATTTTTTTGAATTAGCTTAAAATAAAATAAAAGTATTCTACAAGAGGTAATAATACAACATTTATATTTTTAGAAAATAAAACGAATATGTTCCAGTTTTGAAAATTGTAGAGTCCGTCCCTGGCAACATTATCATAAGACAATAAAATCAGACGATTTTACGATGTTTTCACCACATTAAAATTGGAGGAAGACACAATTTGATTGTGGTGATGTTAATGTATCTAGATTATATTTAACCCGGCCTTGTGTAAAAATAACATCGTATTCTTACGAAACAAGCCCGGATCAATACTGTGAATCAAATCTTTGATTCATACAAATGCGGATATATATAAAAAAACATTTCCCACGACGTCCTGCTAAACCGCAAGATTCACTTAAACCATGTTTTGTTTGTATGATACGTAATAAGCGCCATAAATCTTTAATAAAATATGAATATGAATATATTCAAATTCAAACTGTATAAGGTGTTTTTCTATTAAGGTTCCGATTTTTGGCACCGATACGCTCTAGGTCTAGAGTAATCACAAAATATGACTGATTAATGCTGGCATACCAGATAGTTTTGGCTAGAACTGCTAGAATTATTTTCAAACGATGAAATTACAACAAAATATTAAGATTTACAGCGGTAGCTTTATAGTTCTGTGAAGACGAAGACAAAAATCTATTTTGTTTTTGGTTTTGGGTCTAGTTAAACATTGTGTCCAAGAAACGTATACGAGAAGTACGCTATTAAAAATTGAATTTGCATAGACCTTTTACATATTTGCAATGATTTTTATTGACAAAAATTATTTATTATGCATTTGAGAGTACTTATACAGGCTGTTATAAATTCGCTTCTCACTACAGGGATCTCGGAAACAGTAAGAGATACGAAATAGCTTAAATGGGGGCAAAGTTGCGTAATCAGGAGACCAACATTATGCCTCTAAAAAATCAAGGCTAACATGATTAGTTTTCGAAATATTTGAAAAAAAGAAACGAAATTTTGGAAATCCATTTTTGTTTTATTTCAGCCTTGTTTGAGGTGATATTGAAAAAAGAAGAGCCCTTTCTCATGGCAACTTTTTGCTCTCTATCGAATGGCATAATCAATTTTTTTATGTAACGTTTCATCTCTTCAGGGCCATCATCAACTCAGTTCTTTTGGAGAATCAACAAAAATTAATAATCTAGTTGTTGGGAGCTGGGAGTTACTTAGAAAATAGACTTTTTTTTTAAATATCATTTGCCTCTAACAGTTTTAGCACCTTTACTCCTGGACTATTAGTTTATTTTACATTTAATAGAGGTTTTTATAAGTTTATATGACATCATCTTATTATCTTTATGCGACAGTTTCAATTTATCTGTAAAAAAAATATATTTTTCTTTGATATTTCATAACTAATAATACTTAAATTCCAGTCACATCAATCTCGGCGTAATTAAAAGTGATTTAAATCAAAACATTTATGCTTTAAAATATAACTCGTTACTTATGTAACAATTATTTTCCCTGTATGTCATTGCGTTGTTTCTAGTTCTTATTAGAATAATTTAATAATTCTGAAACAAGCGGCAAGTCTCACATATTTAAATTCATGTCACATTCATAATTTATTTAATGCGAATTGTAAACATTTATGTTAACATTGTATGCATAACAGACGGAGCTTTAGGAGTACCATGTATTTTTTACACTGATATATCCCCGATATATTTTTATGCAAAAATAAAATTATGAATACCCAACCGATTTCCAAGGATCTGCTTTCCTTCAATTAACTAGTAGATAATTATCTACCGAGGAAGAGTGCTACATGTCTATGGACACATCTGTTCTGTAAAATATTTTTGCAGAAACTGATGCAATTGTAGTTTAAATACTGAGTTTGTGCTGAAATATTGCAACAGATTATTAAATCGCTTGCGGGAAAATACTGATCCCAGTTACTTCCCACGAAATCTACTGGGAAGTCAGAATTGTGTCTAGACTAGCTTAGAACAAACTGAGATTTCCAGTGAATCCAAACTTTTCCCTTTGGTCTATATAAGAAGACCCCACTTACCTATTTATATTGTAATCGTGAAATGTTAATACCAAGAATCCATACGCGCTCGTGTTCAATATTAATTCCGAAAAAGGAAATTGCTAACCGCTAACCCAATTTTTAATGTTTGCTTTAACGTAAGTGTGTTAAGCTTTATGCGATGTTACCATGTATTATGCATGTCTTCTGGTAATTTGCCTGAAAATCCGTTAATGTTGCCCAATCTGATATAAAAATGACGCTTTTCGAGATACCTACGCATGGAAAAGTAATTAAAATTAAAAATAACAAAACTTCTTCTGAACAAACGCAAAATTCTTTCTTTGTATTTACTGAGAAAACTCAAATTTGTATATAAAAATTAAAATATATTGTTTTGTATGGCTTTCTTTTTATGAACTTTGTGAACAGAGAATATTGAAAACATTCTTTAGTTTTTATTTTTCTAAAACGCCAAGTAAAGTGCACATACATATAGGTAATTATAAAAATTGTGGGAAATTACATAGACTTTTTACATATTTGCAATGATTTTCGTAAATAAAAAATGTAAATGAATATACAATTTCACTTTTTTCTTAAAATTGCAAACGTTTCGAACACCTTTATTGTGACTTTCTCAAGGCTATAAATAAAACACTGTAAGGATTACATACTGTAAGGCAACAGAAACACATATTATTACATGTGTCTCTGTTGTCTTACAATGTTGTCTTATATAGTTTTATAGTCCAATTAAATAGGTCTTTAAATCGCAATTTTGGTAAACTTGCCTGAGTTTTTGATATAAGTTAGTTTGAGGTATATAATAATAGTAAGTGACAGTATTTTTTTAACCCCCGGCTAGAAGTGAAAAAAGATAAAGTAAAGGGGTTTTTCAATATAACGCAAAAGGGATAAGAGCTAGAAAAAAATATTCTCATAAAAGTTGTAGAGTTTAAAATTCTACATAAAAATTGACTTTTTCTTGTACTAAATATTAAAATTAACTGTGTTCGGGAGACTAGAAGTTTAGGGATGATTTCAGAAATTTAAAAAATCGTAACAAGCAGAAAAATGAATGAATTTTATAATTTTTTTTTCAATCTACTCTAAAAAATATAAATTGTCTTTTCAGAGAATTAGACATGGTTTTTAATTTTTAATAAAAAAAATTTCAATTTTTTAATAGTTAATTTTTATAATTTAATCTAAAACAATTTTCGACTGATTATTTAAAATAATGAAAAGTTGCTTTTGAAATTTTGTTTTCCGATAAAGATAAAAAATCACGAACGTTTTGTGAAATTGTTGTAACTTTTTTTATTAAGAATTAAAAAATATGTCTATTTCTCTGAAAGGATAGTTTATATTTTTAGAGCAGATTGAAAAAAATATATAAAATTCATTCTGCTTGTTATGACTTTCAAATTTCTGAAATCATCTTTTAACTTCTACTCTCGCTAACTCTATTAATTTTAAGAGTACAAAAAAATCAATAGACCGTTTTTATGTAGAATTTTAAACTCTAGGTCTTACCCCTTTTGCGTTATATTGAAAAAACCCTTTACCTTATCTTTTTTCACTCTTGGCCGGGGATTGAAAAAAAAAATACTAGAATTATTGCTCTACAACTTCTATCAGAAATTTTGAGTTGTCTTGAAAAAACCCTTTATTTTATCTTTTTCAACCCTTGTCGGTGGTTGAAAAAAAAACATTACTTTCACTTATTGTTATTATATATCTCAAACTAACATATAAAAAATTCAGACAAGTTGACCAAAATTGCGATTTAAAGGCCCATTTTATTGGACTATTTATATGTAACCTTTAAAAAGGCACAAAAATGCGTCGTTAGCAATTAAAAACAGAAGTTGTAGGTTTATAACATTTCAAGCTTATTGGAATTTAAGGTAATTTTACAAAAACATTTTTATGAGAGTATGACGCGAGGAAAAGATTCGCTAATTGCTTTTGAATCACATTTCAAACAACATCATATATGTATATTAATAATATATCTAGGTATTTTAACTATGCAAATAAAGGATGTTGGTTTCATTTTATATCTATATAATTTTGACTCATTAGGTATACCCATAAACATTTGTGAACAATGAAAGTCGTTTTTAAATAGTCACTTATAATAGCTCTTCTTTAAATATGACCAATACAGCATCCACTTATTTACGAAGAAAATTTTACGAAAAACTATTTTGAACCAAAGCCGACTTTGTTTCTTGGATAGTTTGTTACTTGTGAAAAAATTTAAAAAATTAATGAAATAAACCTCTGTGCCAAAAAGACCAGTCGAGGGTTATTTTTATGAGAATAGTTTCGCCTAATCAAAAATCTCGCATTGAAGAAAGCAGACAGATACAAAATTCAGTGCGAGATTTTTGGTGAGCCAAAACTTCATATTTTCAAACCTAAATAATGTATTGGTAATAATAATAAGTAATGATATAATTGAATTTTCACAATTACGTACCCTGGAATCCAAAAGACTGAACACCGATGAGAACCAAACCAACACGATCAGCAGGCTGCACCTAGACATCCTGGAAAACGAAATATTTCTCACTACAGCACAATTAACAGATACCTGAAGGGAAAAAGCATTCCTACCGTTATATAAGTAAGTTATTAGTTTAAAAATGGAAGATTAATAATTTATTTGAGTAAATCAACAGGCAGGTAGACAGCAATCGTTGGCACTTCTGAAATTCCAGAAGACAAGATTTATAGCTTTGTAATCCTGCCCCATATTTGCATTCAATGAAAAAGTAAACAGCAACACTGCTAAGTCTATCATTAAGTCGTTACCTTTTTAAAATCTTGATTGAATATTTGTTTAATAGACATAATATTGTTGCCGATTGCGACACGCGATATTTAACCAAATGAATATACATATATTGTATATGTTTTGCTGTTTGCAAGGTCGATATGTTCAGTAGGAAATGCCTAAAGCTTTCAATATATTTTTTTCAAAATGAATACACGAATTTCATTGTACGTTGCCTTTGTATATAATATTCATAAATTCAGAAAGGTGGCTTTTTAATATTTTGACATTGACATTGACTACCTAATTTATTTTATTAACTGATATTAAAAGCTTTTGGGAATTAATAAAATAGAACAAGTTATTTTTTTTATCACGCTTTCTATTGAAATAAAAAAAAGTATGTGGTTAGTTCTCAAATAAAATACCTAATTATAGTTTCTAATATTTTCCAGCACATTACCATGAATTAAAAAGTTATTTACTTTGTTATTTAATTTATTTTTACAGAAAAAGTTTTAAAACATTTAGTTTCACTTCAGTTACAACCATTTATAACTTACCTTAATTTCAAACTTACAACAGATATTTAACAATGCACTTCACTGGCAATTGGCAAATGTATCTTGTGGTGGTTAATAGTATACTGGCATATTCTTTCCCATCGCCAAACCACCGTCAGACGTTCAGTTATTTCTGCAGAATTTTTACGAATTCTGATAAAGAATAATTCTTACTACCGAACGCAATTAAATAATTGTTAGTTTGTGAATAGGAAACAAAATAAAATCCCTTTTCATAGACTTGGTATTGGTGAGTGGAAAAAACTCAAGAAAAAATTATGACATTGAAAAGCCGGTATATGTAAATAAACTAAAAGACAAAAATTGGGATTACCAAATATAAAAGAATATACAGGGTGTCCGAAAGCGAACGCCATGTTTTTAGTGTGGTTTTCTGAGATGAATATAAATTTTTTAGAATTAAAATCTGTTCAGTAGTTTTGAGAAAAAAATTCCGAAAGTTTGTCGATTTCGTCACTTTTTTCACATTAAATTGTAAATATCTCGGAAACAAAGCATTTTTCAAATTTTTGTCAAAGAACAAAAAGTGTTTAATTTGGTCCATTTTACAATAAAAAATTCAAAGCCATTCGGCTAGTAATTTTTTTTTACAACATTTTTGTTTATAGCAATTGACTGACCACGCCGAAAAATATAAAAAAATATATGTAAATTATCAAAAAAATACACTTCATAAAATAAAAAAAGTTTTATGCTGTAGGTTTTTGTTTTAAAAATTTAGTCGGTGCATGCCTTTTTTTAGGGGTGAACCGCTCGCCTATCATTTTGATCCGGGAAAACTACCGCTGACGTAAAATCCATTCGCTTCCATACACCCTGTATATAATTATATAGACAATTATTAAGTTGCTTCTGAGATTTTGGTCAGTGCCTGCATTATAAATGCCAACTGTTACAGGAAAACGACTTGTAGTTTTTTTTTACAAATGTCAATGCGACAGTTTTATTATATCAGGTCCAATCATGCATGATTCAATCGAAGCGTACATAGATTCGGAAGAGGAAGCTTTGAAAGCATCCAGCGACGACGAAGACAACGTTGAACCGTCCATAGCAGAGGCCCAGGAGAAGTACAACCAACTGCAAGAGAGGTATATCACTCTAAAAACCATGACTGAATCCCTTAAAGAGAAAATATCTTTGGAAAGGGAACAGCTGAGTAAAGAGGTAAAGGCGACCGTAGAAATGGAGGCCGAAATGCGAAAGAGAAGCATCCACGTGTGCGGTGACAGTTGTGCAATGAACGCAGAAGAATACAGAAGGCGAATGGAGCTTTTCAAAGACTTCATCCTCTTTCGAAATGCTACTGAAAAGCTGGAGAATATTACGAAGAAAAAGAATTACGAGCTTTGGATTACTGAGGTGGAGTACAAGTGTAACTTGGAGTTGCTTAAGCTCAAAGAGAACATGATGATTTTGAAACCTTTGCAAGATATCGCTTCAAGGTGGGGCAAAGAGAACCAAGAAGAAAGGACTTGCGCCAGTGGCGCCTCAGGGGATAAACTGGATGGTGATGCTGAAACTGTTCCCGTCAAGGAAACTGACGAGTTAGAAATTGATGAAAATTAAATAATTTCACATAAATAACGTGTATTGTGCCGAATTTAATTCTACGAAAATTTAATAAAACATACAAATACATACAACATACATACACATATAATGAAGCAAGATTAAGTGTTTCATCAGCTATGTCAGTACAGAAAAATTGGTGCTAAAACATATAAACGGGCGGTTATTGACGAATTCGCAACTTAAGTTTAATTAAAATTTATCTCCCTATTGCTAAATCCACGAGCCGTCACTGAACAACTTGTACTTGCACATGTAGTGATTTTGGAAAACCTACCGTAATGTTAATCGCGTAAATCATCAACAAAAATATATTTACTCATCATTTGTTATAAAATCACGGATTACCATTAATTTCGTTTTTCATTTGAATATTTCAGTTCTTAGAAGTCAAACATTTTTTATTCTAAATTGATTTTAATTGAAACTGACCTTGAATGTAACCAATTAGGTACAAATGCTGAACAAAACCAACCAATCGAGTACCTCTACGGACTGTTGCCATGACAACCCCTTTGTTTACAAACAAAGCCGCAATTTAATAATTGTGGGGTACCAAAAGTGCGTCAAGGTGACAAAAAAACGCTTGTAAGATGGTTATCTTGACAGTTTATACTAATCACATCAAAGTAAAATACAAAAGTACGTTGCTCTCTAAGGCGACGTTTTTCGTGTTCGCGTTTGTAATGCTTTCCATAGTTTTGCCGTTTATATTTGCTTACAAAAGCGGAGGTGATTTGTGCGAGATGTTTTTTGAAGTAATTTTTTGAAAAAAAACATTTCTTTCAGGATTCTGGCTGAAGAGGGACATATTTTACGAACAGCCTAATATAAACCTAAGAGGTGATTACCTTGTGATAGCTGCAACAACTAATTCAAGCAGTCCAATTATTTGCAGCACCTTCGCTTATTATAAGGAAAATCTCGACTTCCTGGATGTTTGTTCAATAATTAGGGTAAGACTGAACAACACATGGGGAAAAGCTTTTGATTCCTTGTTTCAGCTACGGGAAATCGACGTTAATTTGGATGGTAAAACAGACAAGATAAGTTTTAATGTACTCGTAAACACTTTCGACAAGAAAATTACTTCAATCAATTTGTTTCTTCCAATAAATTACAAATTAAGCGTAAGTATGCAACGAAAAATACGGCGCATCGTATAGTGGGTCACCTATATTGCAGGGAAATTATTTTCTAGACCGTTTGTCCTGTTCAAATGCAATCAGCTATAATATACCAGCATTACTTCCATACCAGTGTAACTGATATTAAAATTTTGGGCGACTTGTCCTTATTCCAATCCATTCCAATTCACTGTTATAAAAAAGGAGTTTACGATATCTATGATTACTCTGTTATTGAAGGAGCTGATGAAGGCTACGAGTTGGAAAGCATTATTGGGAGATACTGGGAAAGAAACGGTAAGTGCATAATGAATTTCAGGAATGTGATAATTATTCGTGGAGGAATTTGTATAATTCAAGTTGCATGTTGTTAAGTACAAATAATAAAAATATGTATAATGGTCCTTTGTGCCAGTTCTAGGAAAGTTTCATTACAGCAGAAACAAAGTGACGTCTATTAAGAAATTTCCTGGAAATTTAAGCGTTTCATATCTGAAATGCCTGTGATATGTTAATACAGGCCAACGAGAACCATATCGTCAATATAAACAGAAAAAGAACTTATTTTGTATATAAATTTGAATAATTAAATCTTAGATTTAACAGATCTGATTAGTTGGGCATTCTGCAGAAGGCTATTTAATTTCAAAACAATATTTACAGATTAATTGATCTTTTTCATGGATTTCTCGCACCTAATATATATCGAGTGGTTTAAATACTTTCACATTCCGTGCTAATATTTAAAGTGGTTTCTCGGGTTGCTATACCCAAGAATTTTTTACCTGCACTTGTTGTTCTTGATTTAAACTCGTAGGGGCTGACCCATTAACTCTGAAGCTAACTTTTAACTGTTTAATTGTATTCAATAGGAAATATAAAAATTGTAAAACATTTATTTCATTCATATGTTAGAAATCTGTGTTTTCCGTGTAATTAGCCTATATGCCTTTTGAGAAATAAATAAATATTCATTACAAATCAAAATAAACAAGAAAACATAACTTAATGATATTTTTATTGCAGTTTCAACACAACTATCAAACATATATACAAATGTTGTAAGTGGGCGAGGAGACAAGTTTAATTTAAAGTTAACCGTTCGGTATCCAGAACATAAAATCTACTACAAACCGGGCTTTTGGCAGATAATGAAATGGGCGTGGATGCAGTACTTCGCCATATACATAATAATAGCATGGTTTGTAAGTGGCATAAAAAGATACATTTTTAATAATAGGTTAGTCTTGTTCTACAAAGATGCTGCTTTAGAAAAAAAGTAAACGAAGTTCAACAAAAACATAATTCCACTTAGTTGTTCCATCTTTGACCAAACTAATTTTGTATTTTTATAAAATAAAAAACAGAAATACCTAATAGTTTAATTTTCATTACTAAAATTTATATTCCAAGGAAGAAAAGTCAGTAGACGGTACAGTTTTGCTCCTATTGTCTTCGATCACTATCGTATTTCTAAGCATATCGTCCACCTCCACAAAAAGGTACCTATATTCATAATCTCCAGCGTCGTTCTGAGAAGAATTTTAAAAAATCATGTTTATTCTGTGAAAATATGTTTAATATTACCTCAACCACATCTAACTGAACAGTTCCAGTATGAAAAGACCCCTTCAGGTGGAATTTCATTCTAAGGTGACGCCTTCCGTCCTTCCCCATATACTCCACATGAGAAACATGCTGTCTTCTACCCCTCCTGGTTTCTTCCCCATAAGCCGTGATAGGTCTACCTAGTTTATCTTCCACCCTGGGATCAGCTATACACCTTTTCACTGCTTTCGTATAAACGGTATTTGGACTTTTACTCGAAAAAAGCTCACTAAATACAGCATAGAAAAGAGTTCCTGTTACACCTACCCCTATTAATATAACTCCTAGGTATGAAACAGTCTTTGTAGTTTCCTTGACTTTCTCGCCAATAGGTTTGACATTTGTATCTACTTCAGCTCTTGCGGAGCTCGTAAGTCCACTTTCTTTAGTACTTTTGTAACGTTTTAGAAACTGGTTACATAGAATAGGACTATATCTCAATATCGGCCGGTAATTTTCCACAATGGGCTGAATGATTCTTACTGGTATCATTTTCAGTGTTCCTTATAAATTTGTTATATAATAATTCCAAATAATAAACTGTAGGAGTACATACAGTAAACTAGTAGATTAAATAAGCATAACAAAGATCATATTTCAAATATAAGAAATAACTTTTAAATTACATTTTATCATAACCTAAATTTACTCAAATCAAATGTCTAATCAAAGTAATCAAAGCCACAGAACTATAAAAGGACGACAAATCAAAGAACACTAGAAGTAGAATACAGATTTGTTCGCACCTAATACTCGAATTGAGCAAGTTATGACATGATAGTTATCGATTTTAAACAGTCCGAGACTATTTTAAGATGAGTGCAGAGATTATATTAATATATTTTACTTGTATATAGTTGTTCATAATATTGTAAATGTACATCTTCATAATTCTTTAAAAACGTGAAATTTTTATTGAATCGATTTCACATATTTCAAATTTCTCATTCAAACAAATGCTCTGTTAATATAAATGAACTAATGCAGAATAAAAACAATATTTCACCTTTATTTAATGTCATGCTTGCATTCATAAATATGGAAAATGTCCCCATGGAATTGTACAAAAGGTTGACCGTGATTCGAATCCGCCCTCTGTGAATGAATCACCGACGTTCATGACATTTGAGTTGACATTTGACAGCCCATTAAGCACGGCCACCTGCTAAATCATAAAAATAGGGCAAACAATGTAAAGTGTCTTTGCAGTAAGAAATCAGCTCAGAAAATGGATTGGGTGATATCAGACGAGTTGTCCCTCACTGTGGGCACAGTCGTGGGGTGGATCAGTGCGGGTGCAATGATTATTGGTGGTGTCCTCCCCTATATACCCCAGTACAGGCAAATCAGCAAGACCAAAGACGCGGAGGGCTTCTCTTTACTAGTCTGTCTAGCGCTTCTAATAGCTAATACTTTAAGGATAATGTTTTGGTAAGGATAAATTTTGTTAACTGGTATCTTCGATACAATTAGGGTGTCTGTTTCAGGTTCGGTAAACATTTTGAATATCCTCTCTTGATTCAAAGTTTGATTATGAATATTACTATGTTTTTGATGATTCATTTGTGTGTGCGTGTAAGAAATAGAAACCAGCTACTTCAGGCAAGGCAGAGAATTTTTACAGGTATGGATTCAAGTTATTTTTAGGTCTAGATCAATAATTATTAGTACCTTTAGGAAGTAGTATGTCTTTTTCTAAATTAGGTGTCAAACCAGTTTATTTAATATGTATTGTACCTAGAATTCTAATTTAAGAGTATTGAAGTTCAGTATCATCTTTTTCTGTAATTTCCTTAAATTTTGTATCATTGTAGGTGTAGCTAGTTGATTACATAGTACTTTAATATGTTCATGCTGAAATGCCTGTTTTATCAGTAAATGTTTGTCATATATTTGTTTTATGATAGGCAAATGATAAAGATTGGTTCTAATATAATTTAGTTTAATTTTTACACACATTAACAGCACAGTTTCGCCTAACGTTTAATTTGTACTTAACAAATTTAGATTAATATTTATCGTAGTTTCAAAAGCTGCAATATTTGTTAATAAATTATTTTACTAACTAAGCTTTAACGTTCATATATACATGAAAGTGTTCATTAATTATGATAAAATTACACAAAACTGCCCTGAAATAATGTTGTCCATTGACCAACATTTAGAATAATTAATATGCTGTATTAACAATCCCTTTTATTAATTTTTTATTTTCAATTATTTTGGCAGCGAAGCCCTATGAAGTAAAGAGACTGCTAAATTCTAAGCCTCCTCGCTCTTCTCACAGTATCTGTGGTAATTTGGCTTGCACGCTTAGCTTATCGCTTTCCTACTAATAATTTTTCTACATCTTTTCTTTAGAATTAACAAAAAATATTTAACTTAGATTAGTTTAGGTGCATATTAGGAATAAATCGGATAGTTGCTTGTTTACTATACAAAAGTTCAGGTACACCTAAGTCTTATATTAAACCCTGTCTACAAGTTTCTAAATTTTAGTGATTTTAGTATATAGAACTTGCAATAAATATGTTTTGCTTTCTTTTTAGTCGTCTGTTTAAATTTCCAGTATGTCAATAAAGCCGAAAAACATATTTTACGTAACATCACACGAGCTAAGTTCAAAAACCTATTTTTTTCTATACATTCAGTTATATCAGCTTCAGAGGTTATCTAGGCTCTTAGATATACTATACTGGAAAAGTTGTAATTTTAGTTCTGTTAGTTTCTTATCTTTATATAATAGGTGAAAGGTCACAAGTTCTAAAATAGACTAGAATGAAGTAAATTGTTATATTTCTATAGCCATTTATTAGACTTTAATCTCAAGTTCTAGGAACTGAATTTAGAATTAGATTGACTTTAAAATACACAATTTTCAATACATTTCATAGTGCTACTTTGCTTTTATATAATTCTTCAAGAAACAAAAATAATAAAAATGCTTAATAATGCCATAATCGATAATGCTGTGCATTGCAGTAAAGAATATATAGCAGGTCTAGAAAATTTTTGTATATTTTGTAGAAAAAAATATCTGTATATTAAAATTTGCTAACACATTTTATTCACTTAAAGAAATGTACATAATAAGAATGCATATAGGTACCTAGATTTATCAAATTACACTGAAAAATTACCTATTACTATTTTATTTGGTTTTCAGTTAATATTGGATATAACAGCACTTTTATAGACATCTGTTAAATTCAGATAATTTCAGTGTTATCTGTTTCTCATATAACTTAATAAATACTTATATTAAATTAATGTTGAAAATAATCTTCATCATGTTATATAAAATGGTAGTTTCACATTTTCACAGAAAAAGTAATGTAAAAAGTAAGTTTTTATGAAATCTGAATAATAATATGTGGGTATTTATGGGCCAAATTCTAATACTTTTCATTTATTTTAACAATTAAAAGTTTCATATTGAAATAAAGTGCTTTTTTAAACTCAAGCTCTTATATTTGTTAATTTAATTACAACCTCATCAATATTACTGTGTTAATGGAGTTCATATTTTGAAATAATTTGATCGGCGAAATAATATTTGCTGGTATTTTAATTAATATTTTCAGAATTTGGACAAAAATACCACGTTTTTCAAAAAATAAACGTTTTCTACATTAAATATTGTTATTTTCTTCTAAACCAAAAGTCTCTTTGTATGTATATTGTCCTTATTTGGTATTCAAAAAAGCAAAAGTTTTTTTTATAAATTAAAATGTTCCCTATTTGGTGCAAAATTTTTGGCAGCCACCGTATACCTAATTTTTTTAAATAATCATATTTTGTTAAATATTTACATATTTACAAAAATTATGTAGAGCTTACATCTTTGCAAACTGGAAAATTTTTTAAAACCACCTAGAAAACATATATGCTCTGTTTATAACAAAGAATAAGAAATGTACTGTACCAACTTAAAATATATTTTTATTTATTTTGAGGATTGATAAATTGATAAATCATCAAAAACGAATTTAAATAAAACAGTGATAGGTTGCTCTTTACTTTTCTTCACTCCTACTAACGTTTGTTTGTGATATGTCAAACGCATGCTTTTAGTCGCTTTCCTAACTGCGACACTATCGTACTTATCGATTGTTTTTCAGATTTTGACGCGAAATTTTTCTGGAACTGGTCCGATTTCCAGTCCTACGTTGACTGTATGCTTGTGTTTACGATCGTGACTTCGCTGCTGATGTATCTGTTCATAGATTATATAGTTTTCGTGGAGATAGTCGGCTTCCTCGCCGTTTTCACGGAGGCCATGTTGGGCACACCTCAGCTGGTCAAAAATTACAGGAACAAGTCTACCGAGGGTATGAGGTTAGTGATGCTTTAATTGAACGTACAGGGTATTTAGTTAATAATGGATCCCCCTTAATCGCTTAAGCCAAGTATGTCATAATCAAATGTTGCTCCCTTTCAATCTATAGGGTGGTAAAGTTTAAAAAATTTACTTTGAAAATAATTTTATCAATCTCGTTAAAAATTTCAATAGTTAATTTTTTTAAGACAAAAATCTGGAACGTATTCATTTTGTGTTTATTAGTAGAGGGCACTAGTTATACAGGCTGTTACAAATTTGCTTCTCACTACAGGGATCTCGGAAACGGTAAGAGGTACGAAGTAGCTTAAATGGGGGCAAAGTTGCATAATCAGGGGACTAATATTATGTCTCTAAACAATCAAGGCTAACATGATTAGTTTTCGAAATATTTGAAAATAATCGAAACTGGGAATCTGTTTTTGTTTCATTTCAGTTTGAGGAGATATTGAAAAACGAAGAACACTTTCTCATGGCCTCTATCGAATGGCATAATCAATGTTTACATGTAACGTTTCACCTCTCCAGGACCATCATCAACTTATTGTTATTATACTGTATTGCCTCAGTCCGAACCAGATTCAGACGTTTTGTCTCGGAAAAATTCATCTTCAGTGTATTCGTTCCAAATTCATCTAATTTTTTTGTTTAGATTATCGTACACTGTAAGTGTCGTTAGACCCTGTGAAATCCATCTAGTTATTTAAACTATTACCACCACGCGCTACAATAGAACATTTATTATTATTAACTATTACCATCACTTGGTCATACATAACTCAATAAGTTGTTGTGTCAAAATTAAAACATTGTTACAATTTTTATTTTGTTATGACAAATTAATTCTAAAAAATACATATGAACAACCAAAACGCCAACCGAATATTATTCTTTAAAAAATTTCAGTAAATGTTCAAAAACATTTTCGTTTTGGCAAAGATTGAAAATGAAGATCAGCATAATATTATTGGAATTTATTATATCCGTAACCGCATCTGTGAAAGAGCACGTCAGATGTATTTGTATGAATATCCTAAAAGAAATAGATCGAAATTTGTTTGAATTTTGAGCACTCGAGAAGTCTAGAAATAACTGGACACGGGAATAAAACTCTAATAATGTTTTATATTAATGCATGGCGGTAATAGTTTAAATAACTAGATGGATTTCACAGGGTCTAACGACTGATAATGCTGACATAAAATAATCAAATTTTGAATAAAAATGGACAATGTGCTGCCTATGAAACGCGATTTTTAGATATTTAGTCTTTTTGAAATTGTGTATCTTGAAGTTTGTAGTTTGTTTCGAATAATTTTATATACAGGAGCCGTAATTAGTTGTAAAAAAAGCTGAAGCTTTTTGTGGCTAAAACAGAAGATGCTGAACACCAAACTGCTTCCTTAAAAAAATACAGGGTGTTCAAAAAACATTATTTCAGGTCCTCTGGCTAGAATATTCTGAGAGATTTAAATAAATTACATACAAACATTTTTTATGGAAAAATTTTGGTATTACGTTCATTAATGTTTCAGTTAAATTTTTCAGACCTATTTGTAGCTTAATAAGAATTTAATTATTTCGCGAATATTTTGATTAATGTGTCTCATTACAATAATTTTTATATCAAGGCAAGTAATAATGGTGTGGTATAATATTTACAAGAAAAATGTTGTGATCACATTTAGGTGTAAATTAATTTGCTTTTATTCAAATATTCAAATGCAGATCATAAGTTTATTTTCTCAAATTCTATTGTGAAAACTGATTAATTTTTTTTTTGTAATTTTCATACCCCGTTTTTTATATCACAGAAATCTAACAATGAAGACATACAAAACACACCATACCCTCACTAAGGTTGCATTTCGTAGATGATGGGAATGGGAATTTTTGGGATATGATAACATTGTCCTGCCTACAGACTGCTTTTTCTTAAGGACTATCGATAAACACAAAGTGAATACGTTTTTCAAAATTCAATGCTGGCTGAGGCATAAGCTCGAAGAGTAGTTGCTCCCAGCAATATTAATAAAAAATTTCATCCTATTCCTAATTTTAATGAAACGACCTGTATATTAGAGTGGGTCAAAAAAATCGACTATTTTTTTTTACTTTGTACCTACTCTGAAAAATAAGTTGCCAGACACCTCTAGAAAATTCTCCAAATCTGAGCTCATAATTTTAATAGGAAGGTTCTCCGCTTTACAGTTTTCCATTTTTTCCTCAGTATTAAAAAAAAAAATTCATATCTCTATCAATTGTTCGTTAAAAATATCTCTCCTCATGTACTTGTAGGAAATTGAACGCTCTACAAAAAAGGTCTTTTACAATTTTTTCGTAAACTTCACCGTTTAAAAGATATTAAATGTTGACGTTTGATTATTTTAAGACAAATTTCTGTTTTTCTTATGAATTTTATAACTCGTTAACAAAAAATCATTATGAAATGCGCAATTCATAGTGTTGTAGGAAATTAACTGCTCTACAAAAATGGTCTCTTTTATTCTGATAATATTTTTATAAATTTTATCTCTAATAATTTAAAATCTCTATCGTGTTGTTATTTTTTTTTTTAAGTGTGTGTTCAGAACGTATTTCAAAACTTTTTCCCACAGAATATACATAAAATTTTTCATTCAAAGGGATTTTTGTTTTGAATTTCAGTAGTTCTTCTGTTTGTCTTGTAAAACTAACGCCATCTATGTTTTTTATTCTCAACTTATCTTTAGTATCTATTCGTTTCGTACCCCATTTTCAGTGACTCTAAAACTCATGATTTCGTATACGTGATAAGATAGTTTATTACAAATAAGTCATAATCACTACATAAAATTATTTATTATTAATTAACCTATAATGGATAAGGAAATTCGTTTGATCAATATACCTATGCAAAAAATTTTGGAACGTAAGTTACCAACAGTGAAAGAGGTTATGAGTGTGTTATTCTATCAACTGAAAGTTTTAAAGTGTCCAATCAAACAAAGTGCTAAAAATTCAGTTGACCAAGTTATTGAACTGTGGAAAAAAATCAGATTCCAACTAGTGGAGCTCCTAATGCAGTCAAAAAAATTCTTCGCTATCATACTCAATAGTTAAAATTACATAAAAGTTAAAAAAAAAAAATCAGCACAAAACCAAAATGTTTGAAATTTTATGACTCACTTGATAATTAAATAAAAAAACTTTTTAATAACAAATTGATCATTTTTTCTATAAGATTAATACTTTTCATAATAAATTTCTAACAAAAACGTTATTTTTTCAAGATTTAATGAATCATTGATTCTCAGTCAGAAATAATGCACTAATTTTTTTTCTATGTAACCAAACATGTTTACAACTAAAAAAAACTAGAAAAATAGTTTAAAACATTTCTCTGTTCATAAAAACTCAAATTTGTATAAATTTCCCTGAAACTCATAAACTAAATTGAAATATTAATCAAAAACTGTTAAAATTGGCGTGCATTAAAGTTTGACGATGAATATCTTTTAAACGCTTTATTTAATCGACTAATCATAAGAGACCATTTTTGTAGATCAGTTAATTTCCTCTGACACTATGAATTGCGCATTTCATAATGATTTTTTGTTAACGAGTTATAAAATTCATAAGCAAAACAGAAATTTGTCTTAAAATAATCAAATGTCAGCCTTTAATATCTTTTAAACGGTGAGGTTTATGAAAAAATTGTCAGAGACCTTTTTTGTAGAGCTTTCAATTTCCTACAAGTATATGAGGAGAGATATTTTTAACGAACAGTTGGTAGAGAGATATGAATTTTTTTTTTCTAATACTGAGGAAAAAATAGAAAACTGTAAAGTGGAGAACCTTCCTATTAAAATTAAGAGCTCATATTTGGAGAGAATTTTCTAGAGGTGTCTAGCAACCTATTTTTCAGAGTATAAAGTAAAAAAAAAAATAGTCGATTTTTTTGACCCACCCTACTGTATATCTTCAATTTTTACGCTGGTTTTGTCTCACCTTACTAAAGTACAGTTGAGTTCTTATCGTTTGCTTGTTAGTTATCCATAATAGCAGATTAATTCCAGCTCTCCTCTTCCAGCCTGAGCATGGTGGTGATGTGGACGTGCGGTGATATATTTAAGACGCTGTACTTCCTGTTGCGCGACGCGCCCGTGCAGTTCTGGCTGTGCGGCTCCATCCAGGTGGCCGTGGACCTGCTGATCCTCCTCCAGGTGTTCATCTATCGGGGCAACGCGGAGCCGCAGCGCACAGGCCCCCACCGGGGGGATTGAGTGGTTATCATCTGGACGCACGACGAGATCTGCCACCGCAAGGGGAAGGCCGGTGCCGAAGTGGCTGTCCTAAACGAGAAGAGGGAGGATAGCGACAACCTAGCCAATAGTATTAGCAAAGACGTGATCCCGGAGGGGGCGCGCGACTCCCCTCAGAACAGCGACTCCAGTGCTAACGATAGGACAGAGACGGAGAACGATTACTGTTGTGTTATCAGTGCTGACGTTCACAACGAGAACGAGGGGGGCCTCGGCGAGGACGCCGGTAAGACCGTTCCTGTAGATAGTGTAAATAATACGCGGGGAAAGCGTGGCGCCAACGGCGATACGAAGAAGCGGGCTTCGCACGTCTCCTACAAGGAACGCGCCAAGCACAAGGTCAGCATGCTTATCCACAGGCATACGTTATGACATACACTTTTCGTTGCTTCCATAGAGGGCTGCTTCCGCTCCTCTTTAGTGTGTTAGGTTCTCGTTTCTCGAGTGGTAATAGCCGACACACGTTTTTTTTTTTTTTTAGATAAATATACGTATATGTCTTTGCGACCCTGTCAATTCTGTGATCTATGCAGCTTAGATGGTGCGGGTGGTGTTACATAACCTCAAAAAAAATTTTAATTTAGACGGGGTGTCACTTTGAATGGGGGTCGAGAATTCTTTCGGTCGCTACCTTTGAACTTAACAAAAATATAAGTTTATTTCTTCAAATTCCGTCGTAATAGTCGATTTTTTATACCCTAGGCAGGGTAACTTCAAAAAACGGCGCGCCATTTTTCTTGATTCGTTTACAATGTTCCGTCATGCCTCGCAGAAATTTAACAATGAAGACACACAAACACACAAGATATGTCACTAAATACCATTTTAAATTTTACCACAAAATTAAATTTGATTAAATTTCAGTTCGATTCCAGTAAAAACTAATTTTTCAAGCAAAAAATTGTGAGATTGCTACCGCACAAGGAAAACTAAAATAAATATAGTAATATATACTGTGACAGATTCGGGTCTAGCACTGGGTTGCCATATCACATGGATTGATATGTAGTTTACCTAAACAAGGTCGATGTCGGAAGTCATCGACACCGAGATTCATGGACTAAACACAGTGCTCCAAAAAAAATTTTTTTCATAAAAAATTTGAAGCGATTTTAAATATTTTAACTCGATCCCATTAGACTTAGATCTTGTATAACTTCAATTTTTTTTGAGGTAACGTACATCTTTTTAGACCACTCTCTAAATAATCGTTATAGTGACAACCCTTGCAAGAGATACGTAACAAAAAAAAATTATTATTTTATATTCTGACTTAAAGTCGTGGATCACTTGTTGAGCGTAGCGGTACGTTGATTGTCCAGGAGACGCTTTTCTGTTAAAAATTACGACTACGTGCGGTGATTTTCATTGTTGATTGTTTTTGCGTCGGATTTGCTCAGTTTCATTGTGAAACGGTTAATTTCCGAATGACAACGTTTGGATTTGTTCACTTGTTTTTAAAGCACCAAATGTTTTTGTTGGGTTTTAATGAACAAGTTAGCAATAACGTGACGTGATCACGTTCTCGTTTGAATTTACCTTTTTGACTTTAGGATAGTTAGGGCTCAATATTTATCGGTAATTTAAAACACGCCGTAAAAATTGTGCCTCAGTTTCGAAGTTAATTTTCTCATGAATACCTAATCTAATTTTGGTAACCTTTTTTATAATTATTACATAAGTAACTTCTCAAAAAAAAAATTTTTTTTTAGGAATTTCAGTTCTAAACATCTGCAGGGTGTAGGGAGACTGCTATGTTTTTTTTTTTTAATTTGAAACACGTAGGATGCGTCAGTTAAAGTGGTGAATTTAAATCAAAATGCATCCCTGCTTTTTCTGAACAATTTGTTTTTTAATTGCTGTCATTGTCTTCTTCATTCATTGAGTAAAATTAAAGTCTCAGATTTATTTTAAGGATTTAAGAACTTACAAGCAGACGAAAGTAAGAAAATCAGTAGGAACAAAGAAACAAAAAGAAAAAGAATGAAACCAACGAAAAAAAAAGAAATATTCTCGCAGATTTTATTATTTTTGTCATGTCCTATTTTTTTTTTATTTTTGCATTAAACTAAGGCCTTCCATTTAACCAAATGTTGCACACAGTTAATAACAAAAATAATGACTCGTAATTCAAAAAACAAACATTTTAGAAAATGTGAGATTGCATTCTGATACACAGGGTGTTCATTAAGTACTTGTACAAACTTTCAAGGGTGAATCTTTGACTATTTTTAAGATAAAAAGTTCATTCGAATATGGATCCGCAACGGCTTGGTTCTTGAGATACAGGGTGTCCAAAAAAATTTTTGTTTGGTATTTTGATTATATTTTTGTTCAGTAACATGGCAAGTTGACGAAATTCGGGAAATTGGAAGTATTGATGATGAGAAACTGAAATATTTACTTAGTCTTGTATTTAAGTAGCTAAAACTTTTTGTGTCACACTTTACGTCATTTTTGACTGAACATACCTATTCTCCATTCAATTTTACGTACGCTGGAATTTTGTAAAGATGCAACACACTTTTTGCGATTTTTTTTTTCAAATTTTCACTGATTTGGTGATAGTAATTTGTAAAGTGATAGTGTAACATAGCACATGACTATTTTTCACTTATTTTTCAAAAACTCTTAATAAGTCAACTTAAAAAATGCCAACGTAGGTTTAAATTTAAACCTGTTTTTTTACAAAACGGCTGCTTTCAGCGACAAATACTATGAATACAGTTTGTGTGTAGAATTTAATAGAGAATAGGTACGTTTAATCAAAAATGACATACAGTGCGACACAATAAAGTTATAGCTATTTAAATCCAGGTACAACACTGTATGTGGCGCCCTCTGACATTAAACTAAAAACTAAGTAAATGTATGAGTTTCTCTTCATCAATACTCCCAGTTCCCCAAATTTTGTCAAATAAATGTTGTTGAACAAAAATATAATCCAAACAAAATTTTTTTTTGGACGCCCTGTATCTCAAGAACCAAGCCGTTGCGGATCCATGTTCATATGAACTTTTTATCTTAAAATTAGTCAAAGATTCGCCCTTTAAGATATGTACAAGTACTTAATAAACACCCTGTATATTCGCTAATTTACTGATACTCCTTACATGGTGTGATATGCTGAAAATTTGTATTTCTATAAACATTTCTGCGTTTTTTATGAACATATTGTTTTTTTAATTCATCATTTTATTCATATTAATTGAGATACACAGTTAAATTGAAGTACACTATTTTATTTTAGAAATGATAAAAAAAAAGAATTATTCTCTATTTTTTTAATTTTTGCAATAAGCGTATGCTTTTTATTTAACTTTTTCAGAAAAGGCCAATCTATTTGTAACAACACAAAAATAGAAATTTTTATTGAAATTTCAGTTTTCAACATATACAGGGTGTGCCATTTAACACTCGCGCTGCCAATATCTCTGAAACGAAGAAATTTGTTTTAGTTTCAATTTGTAGTTAGAATTGTTAGTTCAAATCTTCCAGATGGCGTGGCGATACTAAAATATTTTTTTGTTCCTTGGAACATGGAAATGCAGTCTATCTGAAAGATCGTTAAATTTTGAGTAATTTTTGTAGTATAAGTTTTTTCCTATATTTACTTGTTTTCAAGATACGTCGACTTCAATATGCAATGTATGATATACTAGGAAAGTCTATTATTTTATTTAAATCACATTGAGACAAAATAGTCTTTCAAAATATTGATATAATGGCTTTATTCACACCACATACTACCTAAGAAACAATAAATTATATAAAAAAGAATGATCAACCACAGAAAAAAAATTGTACAATAGTAAATCTTATAAAAAGCAGACGAACCGTATTTTATCAACTGTTATTAAAAAATGCAGTCATAGGCGGCTCATGTCATTTCTTTAAAACAATGACAGATGACACATATTAGTTTTCCAATAATTACAGTTTTATCAGTTTGCGTCTTTCAATTTAAGTATACTTATTTTTATATTTTATATTTATATATTTACCATTGCATAATTTTTTTTCTGTAGTTAATCATTTGTTTTTTTTATAATTTATTGTTTGTTAGTTAGTATGTGGTGTGAATAAGGTCATTATAACAATATTTTAAAAGAATATTTTATCTCAGGGTGATTGAAATAAAATAATAGATTTTCCTGTTATATCATTCATTGCATATTGAAGTCGACATATTTCAATAACAGATAAAGATAAGGAAAAACTATATATTACAAAAATTACTCAAAATTTAACGATCTTTCAGATAAACTGCATTTCCATGTTCCAGGGAACAAAACAATTTTTAGTATCGACACGTCATCTATACAGAAAGATTTGAACAGTTCTAACTACAATTTGAAGCTATTCGAGGGACCTAACAACTCCAATTTCCAGAACTAAAATAAATTTCTTCATTTCGGAGATATTGGCAGCGGGAGTGTTAAATGGCACACACTGTATATGTTGAAAACTGAAATTTCAATAAAAATTTCTATGTTTGTGTTGTTACTAATAGATTAACCTATAATTAAAAAGAGATCATCAAAATCAGATTAACAGTTTGTGAAAACATCAATTTTCAAATTGGGGTCAATTTTTAGTTGTGCATTTATTTTTGTGCAAAGTGAGAAATTTCAAATTAGTGATTTAACTTATGCATTTAGTTTGATTCCATCGAATTAAATTCTATTTCAGTTATTAATTTATATCTAAGGCTTTACTTACATGCGGAATGTAAGAACACCGCATGTAGGGGGTTCCGAAAGGATTTTTTAGTAATTATAAATTATTTTGTGACGCCGAAAGTTCCTAGTTAAAAAAAAAAACGTTATCTGTATCAAATTTTGCGGCAGTTAATGTTTTATTTCACTTTAGAAAAAAAAGAAATAAAATCTTTTGGTATCCTCTTCAGTGTGACTTTGCGATAATATGTATTTTTACATTTAACAAATATAAGTGCTAAGTTTTATTAAGTACAACGTATTCTGTGATTATGACATTCTTTCAGCTAGTCGTACGTTTAGTTGTTTTGGTTCTGAGAAATCTGTCAATTATATAGATTACAATCTGATCAAAGCGTTAACTTCTTTAGCTAGTTTTAAGTTTTGGTAGCATCGATTTTGCCGATTCGATCGTTCCTAAGCTGTGAGAGATATAAATTTTATTTTGTTGATTTGGTAACTGGTGTTTTTCTTTTCGAAATTCTTTCGAGTTTTTTCGTCGACATCTTCCATCCTTATGTTTTTCATCGTTTCTTGTACAGTCCCTGATTTTTCTTTCTTCACACCTTTTTGTACAGAGTGGGCCAATTTCAGTTATTTTGTATATGTCAAGGATATAAAAAGCAATTTAGTTTTCAAAACTGCATCTCAATATACAGGGCGGCTTTCTATTTTGGTGTTTATATAATTTTCGGATTTTTTATTTTTGTAAAGGTGTTTTTTTTTTATTATTTTTTTTTTGCATGGAATGTATGTTTCTTTAACGTCTATGGGCAAAGAACTTATTGTCTTATGTTTTCGAGATACGAGTATAAAATACGATTTTTTAAAATCAAATTAGTATTGAAATTTGTCAGCATTAGTAGTTCCTGCCCGTCTTCGAGAGGGCGCTAGGTAGATCTTACTCAGTGGCGTTTCTAACAACTTTTTTTTTGAGGTTAGGTTTTTTATAATGAATGTCTTGTAAAATTCTATTTCACATGAATGATATACTTTTGTCAAAATCACACCTTTTTTAAGGAAAAAAGCAATCGAGTCCCACACTTAACCAACTTCTCCATATTGTACAGAGTGTTCAGAAATTAA